AAAGAGTTTAAACTGATTGCAAACTGATTTTAAAATATATGGTTCTGTCTGTAGTACGTCCTGATGTCATAATATTATGTCGTAAACATGTTAAATAAAACAATTATTGATAACTTCCTGAATTCCAATTGTTCAATGAACAGAATTATTCACAGCTCTGGCCTGAGACAACAATCAATTAGATGTTACTAAAGATTGTCCATTCTATGATCTTAGGCACATGTCGGCGCACTTACATGTGAGCCGTCTAGACGACCGTCTGTTTTGTCATTAAATGGCAGCTGCCATCCAGCCGAATACTTAATCTTGAGACCTATTAGGGTCTTGTCGAGTCAAGTGCGGGTCTCTCTCCCACCTTAGGGACTGAGACTGTAAAAGCCCCTCGCTACACAGACAAGTAGTGAATGTTTGAGATAAATATATTATTATATAATTTAAACTCAATAAATAACTGTTGTTATTGTCCAAATTACTGATAAAACATATTTTAACTTTTTCCTTCTAACCATATTTCCAAACCATTCCAAACCATTCCAAGCCATTCCAAACATTTCCAATTTTGGAAATATGCTTGGAAATGTTGCCATTCCAATTTTGGATTTTTTGGAAAGATCGATCTTTCCAAGCTTTGGAAATGTTGGAATGAGCGATCTTTCCAAAGAAATCCAACGATCATTCCAAATTGGAATGGACGCTATTTGGTCTTGTGATTGTATGATTGCTGTTATGGAGTCGACCCGTGAAGACCCGGGGTAAAATAGGTCTTCAGCAACCCATGCTTGCCATAACAGGTGACTATGCTTGTCGTCAGAGGCGACTAACGGGATCGGGTGGTCAGGCTCGCTGACTTGGTTGATGCATGTCATCGTATCAAAATTGCGTGGATCGATGCTCATGATGTCAATCACTGGATTGTCTGGTCCAGACTCGATTATTTACAGACTGCCGTCATATGGCTGGAAAATTACTGAGTGCGGCGTTAAACAACAAACAAAACAAACAAACAAACTATCTCTTTTATGTATGTATTAGGATGTGAGCATATACAAAATCAAGTTCAACAAAAGATATATCATGGTGATGTGAGAAAAGATGGTACTTGTTGTTTCCCTGCCTGGAGCTCGACATATAGGGGATAAAACCAGGACTGGTAGGTTCGGAGTAAGTATACTGTGTCTGAGTGTGTGATCCATGGTAAACTGCGGCATGGTATGTGAGTGGGTTCACACAATTAATCCGTCATTAGTCAATGACACAAACACACATACATACACAATCACACACTTTGCTATATGGGTTCAATAACCTTGAACGCGACGTTAAACTCCATTTCACCATCCCACCTCATAACCACAGGAGATATCGCTTGGGTGAGATCAAGCGATATATGCATTGTAGATATCGCTCCAATGAAATTGCATCACAATGCTTTGCAGACCATTGTGACGTCATTGTTTCATGACGTCACAATCAAATGACATCACGAATGGCTCTGCTACCGAAGCTGTTAGCAGTTCTTTTTTATTGGTAGTACTTATTACTGTCTACAAACTGAAACAGTTGGAAGAATTATGTTAGATGATAAATAAAATCTCACCCTCTTGTCTTTTGATATCAAATATATCAACACTCCCCAGACTGTTAATTTCATGTTGGTCAAACACTGTCTTTCTCCGATGTCTTTACTTACATATATAAGCATTTGAAAATAAAGATATTTATATGATACATCCACATGACGTTTCTTTTGCCCCTCAGTGTACATATAACACTTTGAAAACGCATATTTTCTTTTTCTTAAATTAAGCTGTTCCTGTGTTTTTAGGCATTACATAATAAAACACAACAACGTCATTGTGTCACACAGTCATATTTTGTCATGCGAGTAAATATTAACGGCGGACTGAACAAATAAGTTTCTACAAAAAGGCATTTTGTTCCATCACTCAAACTGTTCTCTAATTTTCACACTGTTATCAAGTACAATTTTCGATCACTGTTTATGTGCAAGTCATTTTTATATTTCAGAACACGACAAGCGAAGTGCCTGCCTTCCACCCAATCCTTAACTACAAGATCTTAGGGGTGTAAATCAGACGTCTGTCCTGTCGCCATAGCAACTACGAACTTCTGATTATCCAAATAATAATTCACTTTCATCTTTAATCAGCTTTGGAAAATATAATTACTCATTGTGACACCATGCCATCTGACTGTTCAGCTCTTGTAAATCAACTCGGCTGTTTGGCCTTTGAAGTCATTATGATGTCATTGCGACGTCATACAGATTCATGACGTCACCAACCTTACTAACAATTGTCTGTTTACTCTTTACTCCGCCAAAGGGCGACGCAGTTAATGCCACTCGTGACTAAGTCACCCGAAAGTAGTTATGGCTTAAGGGTAAGGATTGTGTCGTGTCATTCGCGGTGTGTTTGACTCTTTAAAGACTGGAAATCTTGGCATCCCTCCGATATTTGACCTCGAGAATAATATACAGTAAACTACGGTTATAACGAACTCACAGGGACCACTAATAACCGTAGTTCGTTATAAGCACATATGCAGCAAATATACAGCAAATGGACGGGATCAAAACACATTTCGTTATATCCGACAGTTCGTTATAAGCGTGTTCGTTATAAACGTAGTTTACTGTAAAACATCCTCTGGATAAATCCTCCAAACCACATGTCAACACAATGACAACTCTTCTATAAGTTCCAACTGAACTATTTAGCCAAGACCCGTTTTATCTGGACACCGTTTACCTGGACATGCCGACTTCGGGACGATTGTTGTAAGGAAAATCTAAAGATATAAAAAGGAACATTATAATCGTTTATCCAGACTCGTTTATCCAGATTCGTGATTCGTTTATCCAGACACCTGTCGACTCGGACGATTTCATTGAGAACGGTACTGTCTGGATTAATGAGGTTGACGATAAGTTATTGTCATTCCCATCAGTCTTTGTTGGTTTTACCCATCAGATGTTTTGCCACCCAGATGTTGTTTTGCACGTTTCTTATGTGACACCAGCCCCAGCTGCATTGTTACGCCGTCTTTTTACGAGGCTTGACGGAAATAGCCGAACGTACATTGTTGTGACGCATGAAACACTCAGTTGGCAAGTTGTCTCCCCTGTTATTGAATGCTATTGTCTGTGATGCCCTTCCTCGTAGTTTGCTTTGAAGGCGTTGTTCCTCGTACGTTTGTATTGATACTTAGTATTCCTATAGTACACACGGATAAGATATAATAAATCCAATTTCAGTTTATGCATGAAAAATATATTTCTCATAACATTTAAGGATTGGCTGTATTTTTTCGGTTCATTGAGGTGTGAATACTAAAGTGTTACTATCCCTGATAACTTTGTGATAATACAGGTGAACAGAGAGTGAAGTCCTACCGCTGTAATAGGGATTTTCCGACATTCGGTTGTGATAAAAGTAGACCGCTTCAGTTGGCGTGGCTTAATTTTTCACATTCACTGGTCTTCTTTGTGTAAACTGAATATATACTCAAAAGAAGGTAAAATACCCCTTTTTCATGGCCATTGCAGATGAAATACAGATAGACATGCAAAAATCCGTTGTTCTTTTACTTCGTTTGAGCAGTATACATTCCCAAAATTCAAGAATCTCTCCAAAGCCTCCACAAAACTGAATATGGTTCTACATTTTTCTTTTGTATTTTTAATGAGAGTTATTTTCAAAGAAAGATAAATAAATATATTTTCTTTATGACATTGTGATTCTTTCCTGTTCAAGTTATTCAATCTCGCTGATTCAGTGATATAACATTGTATGATTGCTGTTATGGAGTCGACCCGTGAAGACCCGGGGTAAAATAGGTCTTCAGCAACCCATGCTTGCCATAACAGGTGACTATGCTTGTCGTCAGAGGCGACTAACGGGATCGGGTGGTCAGGCTCGCTGACTTGGTTGATGCATGTCATCGTATCAAAATTGCGTGGATCGATGCTCATGATGTCAATCACTGGATTGTCTGGTCCAGACTCGATTATTTACAGACTGCCGTCATATGGCTGGAAAATTACTGAGTGCGGCGTTAAACAACAAACAAAACAAACAAACAAACTATCTCTTTTATGTATGTATTAGGATGTGAGCATATACAAAATCAAGTTCAACAAAAGATATATCATGGTGATGTGAGAAAAGATGGTACTTGTTGTTTCCCTGCCTGGAGCTCGACATATAGGGGATAAAACCAGGACTGGTAGGTTCGGAGTAAGTATACTGTGTCTGAGTGTGTGATCCATGGTAAACTGCGGCATGGTATGTGAGTGGGTTCACACAATTAATCCGTCATTAGTCAATGACACAAACACACATACATACACAATCACACACTTTGCTATATGGGTTCAATAACCTTGAACGCGACGTTAAACTCCATTTCACCATCCCACCTCATAATAACGATGACCGTGAAGATCCGGGGTAGAATTGGTCTTCAGCAACCCATGCTTGCCGTAAAAGGCGACTATGCTTGTCGTAAGAGGCGACTAATGTGATCGGGTGGTCAGATTCGCTGATTTGGTTAATGCATGTCATCGTATCCCAATTGCGTGGATCGATGCTCATGATGTAAATCACAGGATTGTCTGGTCAAGACTCGATTATTTACAGACCGCCGTGATATAGATGGAATATTGCTGAGTGCGGCGTTAAAAAACAAACAAAATATCTCTATTATATATGTTGGATGTGATCATATACAAAATCAAGTTCAACAAAAGATATACACGCTGGTCTAGTAACACAAATGGCGCTTTGCGAAACAAACAGTCTCGATTGACAAGTTAAATGAGAAATTTACAGTTTATCAGGAAACATTTTCAAAAGAATAACAAACGGCAAGAAGCGATATTAACTCCTTAAAGGACCATCTGTCATTATATTGCCTTGTCAATGTGGAACTTAACCTTAACGATGACATGCATCATGTCAGCGACTCTGACCCCCCGATCCCGTCAGTCGCCTCTGTCGACAAGCATGAGTTGCTGAAGACCTTTTCTCTATACGGATTTTCACGGGTCGGACATCAAGTAACTGAATTGTCAGTATAACATCAATCAATCAACCAACCAACCAACCAACCAACCAATCGTAATTCAGGCCACTTGGCCAATAGTACAGTTGTAAGATAAATAGTTGTCACATGTCCAGAGTGTCACTCACTTCGCCATCGATGCCTTTATGAATGGAGGTCGTTTCATTATTAACCTGTTTGTACTAATTACGAATGTTGTGGAAATCATATACAGGGGGCCCCAGTCGTCTGGGGCAACACAATTCGCTGTGCACAGATGGGTCCCCAGGGAAGGCCAGAAATCTACGATTGCGGGTACGAATCCCGGTTCTCCCCGATCGTGTTTCTTGGTTTGTCAGCACCATAGCCGTGCTCATGGGTTTCATCAAAGTGGTAAACGTCCGAGACTGGCATCATTGCGAGCTGTGAGCTGACACAATGTGACATAACTGGAATGCTGTTCAAAGCGGCGTTAAACCCACTCACTCACCTATTTGTAAGGTGAAATGTAATTTAATGTAATATTATGTCCTTACAGGCCTGTGGCCTTTCACGCAATAAACAAACGATGACTGCTTGATGAACCGAACACCAATCAAGCAACTATTTGTTTTATTATTGTTTGGATTTCATCGCCTCAACACAACAAATTAACAAAAATGTGATTATTAATATTTCTTCAGAATACGATTTCCTAAATAGGGTCTTGATACAAGAAGCGATAACAGTTTTTTTTCTAAATCAGCGTTCTCGGTTTCTTCCAAAACGATTAAGAACAACGCATCATTAAAGGCTACTAAAACACATATGATTGATTTACAAGTAGCATGGAGTACATTACAGATTCATGCCAAGTCATAGGCTCATTTGATCGAGAGGATATTATTTTCATGACTGCTTAAACGCTTCCAGACTTCGAATCAATTCATATGATGTAGCGGGATATAATCTTCATTTGTCGTGGCTTAAATCCGAAAACAAAGGCTGATTTCTTTGAGTTTCATGGAAAGTTGAAAAAATGCAACTTTTCATTGGAGCCTTGTCCTTCTGTGTAGTAGCCATGTCCATCAGCCGACCATGCAATAGCTTCACCTCGATTCTCGGGCTTGTCCCCCTGAATATCCCTTCCCGGATGACTCAGCGCTTTCTTCACATTCATATCGGGCATAGACCATACATAGACGTGATCTAATGTCTTTATCAAGAGTTGTTTCCCATCTGGTGAGATATCTGCCGCTAGAGGGCCTTTGTTGGCGGTGGTGATGGGCAAGGTCAGAACAGTCTTCACTGCAGTCTGACTTCCGCTGGTCCATCCGCTCGAGGGCAGTTGTCCGAGAGTACTTCCGGTACCGGTTGCCTGAGAAAGGATGAATACGTTTCCTGCAGCATCAACCATAAGCGATTCGGACATGGGATGATTCCATCTGAAGTAACGAGAAGAAGAGAATGTAACGAAACACTTACTGTCTATCATGGTGATGTGAGAAAAGATGGTACTTGTTGTTTCCCTGCCTGGAACTCGACATATAGGGGATAAAACCAGGACTGGTAGGTTCGGAGTAAGTATACTGTGTCTGAGTGTGTGATCCATGGTAAACTGCGGCATGGTATGTGAGTGGGTTCACACAATTAATCCGTCATTAGTCAATGACACAAACACACACATACACAATCACACACTTTGCTATATGGGTTCAATAACCTTGAACGCGACGTTAAACTCCATTTCACCATCTCACCTCATAATAACGATGACCGTGAAGATCCGGGGTAGAATAGGTCTTCAGCAACCCATGCTTGCCGTAAAAGGCGACTATGCTTGTCGTAAGAGGCGACTAATGTGATCGGGTGGTCAGATTCGCTGATTTGGTTGATGCATGTCATCGATCCCAATTGCGTGGATCGATGCTCATGATGTAAATCACAGGATTGTCTGGTCAAGACTCGATTATTTACAGACCGCCGTGATATAGATGGAATATTGCTGAGTGCGGCGTTAAAAAACAAACAAAATATCTCTATTATATATGTTGGATGTGATCATATACAAAATCAAGTTCAACAAAAGATATACACGCTGGTCTAGTAACAAAAATGGCGCTTTGCGAAACGAACAGTCTCGATTGACAAGTTAAATGAGAAATTAACAGTTTATCACGAAACATTTTCAAAAGAATAACAAACGGCAAGAAGCGATATTAACTCCATAAAGGACGATCTGTCATGATATTGCCTTGTCAATTTGGAACTTAACCTTAACGATGACATGCATCATGTCAGCGACTCTGACCCCCGATCCCGTTAGTCGCCTCTGTCGACAAGCATGAGTTGCCGTCATATAGCTGGAATTTTGATGAGAGCGGCGTTACAAAACAAACAAACCAACAAATCATAATAACGAAGGTGGGGACACGTGTTTCCCAGTCGTAAAGCGCCGCGATTCGCAGTGCAAAGTTGCGTCCGTTGACACGCCAGAAACCTATGATTGTTGGTTCGAATCCCGGTTCGCCCCAATTATGTTTCTAGGTTTGTCAGCACCATACCCGTGCTCGTGGGTTTCACCAAAGTGGTAAGAGTCTGTGACTGCATCACTTCGGGCTTTCCTCCCACATGAAGCTGACACGCCGTGATACAACTGGAATACTCATTCACTCACTCACTCACAAAGGCCTTACGTGTAGTGGTATTTGCCTGTCAGCGGAATGTCCTGGGTGAAGGTATAGTCAGGTTCTTTCACTCTGTAGACCACGTTGCTGGACTTTTGGTTGGTGTCCCCCGAGTCGGCGATGTAGATGCAGCTGTCGCCGTCGGGACAGGGACCTACAGCAATGTCTTCCCAGTCAGCTTCTTCGCCATGCTGGACTATCAACACTCCTGTAACCCGTGAAGATCCGAGTTAGATCGCTGTCCATGATATCAATCACTGGCTCGTCTGGTCCAGACTCGATGATTTACAGACGTCAGCTAGGATATTGCTGAGCGCGGTGTTAAACAACAAACAAACAAACAAATAAACAAAAAACTCCTGTACCAGAACATCTTCTATTTTTCATTTTATTTTAACAAAATGCCTACAAAATACAAATACAGCTGAATATTTGATTTGACCGAAAACTTACAAAAGTTATCAAAACGTCACCAGACTGAAAACAATCGCCCAAACAATACAAACCTAGGGTCAAGGACACAGCTATGATATCCGTATCAAATACATTTCAGGTTTGTTTGATTTTAGTTAACTTCAAAAATAGGTGTATACTCTCTTTATCCCGGTAGTATAAAGGGGCGGTCGGATAGCCTAGTGGGTAAAGCATTCGCTCGTCACGCCGAAGACCCGGGTTCGATTCCCGACGTGGGTACAAAGTGTGAAGCCCATTTCTGGTGTCCCCTGCCGTGATATTGCTGGAATATTGCTAAAAGCGGCGTAAAACCAAACTCGCTCAAACCCCGGTAGTATAAATATACATCACTGGATTGACTCGACTGTGTACAAACCGCCGACGTATAGCTGGAAGATTCCTGTGAGCGGCGGAAAACAACAAACAAACAAACAAACAAACAAACGTTGTAACATGTCAACTCCTGATGATACATTTTCATGACAGAATATGGATCCATGTCAGGAACGCCACCTGGTGGTAGAAAATCCAAGATGGCCGCATATATGGGTGAACAGTCTGATGATATCAATCTATACTAAATATATCGTACTTATCTGGACACCAGTGGAATATTTACCTTTGACGCTGCCGTCAGTGGCATCCAGCATGTACACGTTCCCATCCCCTGCGTTGTCTTGGATGGCGTACAAAATGCCCGGATGGCGTCTGCTCGCTGCGAGACCGGATATCATGTTGAGATGTCCAGGGAGTCCCGCAGCTGTTTGATATCGATATAGTGTGTGTGTGTGTGTGTTATGAACATGCATAAACATAGGAGCAGGATTATCTGGAATCGTACAATTAGATTCAAAACATCAACCAGACCTGACACAATTGAGAAATTAGTCTGTCTAGAACAGACCCAACAAAAGGGACAAGTTCGGCTTTCTTGCACAGATCTTAAACAATGGACAAGTTCTGCTGTCTGGACCAGACGCAACACAACGGACAAGTTCGGCTTTCTTGAACAGACCTGACACAATGGACAAATAATATTAAGCTCTCCAGACCAGACGCAACACAACGTACAAGTTTGGCTATCTAGACCAGACCTGACACAATGGAGAAGTTCGGCTGTCTAGACCACACCTGACACAATGGACAAATAAGGCTCTCTAGACCACACCTGATACAATGGACAAATTAGGCTCTCTAGACCACACCTGAAACAATGGACAAATTAGGCTCTCTAGACCAGACCTGATACAATGGACAAATTAGGCTCTCTAGACCACACCTGATACAATGGACAAATTAGGCCCTCTAGACCACACCTGATACAATGGACAAATTAGGCTCTCTAGACAAGACCTGGCACAATGGATAAATTAGGCTCTCTAGACCAGACCAGACACAATGGACAAATTAGGCTCTCTAGACCAGACCCGACACAATGGACAAATTAGGCTCTCTAGACCAGACCTGGCACAATGAACAAATTAGTCTCTCTAGACCAGACCTGATACAATGGACAAATTAGGCTCTCTAGACCACACCTGATACAATGGACAAATACGGCTCTCTAGACCAGACCTGGCACAATGGACAAATTAGGCTGTCTAGACCACACCTGACACAATGGACAAATTAGACTCTCTGGACCAGACCTGGCACAATGGACAAATTAGGCTCTCTAGACCACACCTGGCACAATGGACATGTTCTTCTGTCTTGACCACACCTGATACAATGGACAAATTAGGCTCTCTAGACCAGACCTGGCACAATGAACAAATTAGGCTCTCTAGACCAGACCTGATACAATGGACAAATTAGGCTCTCTAGACCACACCTGATACAATGGACAAATACGGCTCTCTAGACCAGACCTGGCACAATGGACAAATTAGGCTGTCTAGACCACACCTGACACAATGGACAAATTCGGCTGTCTACACCAGACCTGACACAGTGGAGAAATTAGTCTTGAAAAGACCTGACACAAAGGACAAGTTAAGCTCTCTGGAACAGACCGTCATGGCACATCGAGGACAATCTTAGCAAATGACACAGTCAAAGAACACATAGTTAAAAGAAAGTGAATAATTTACGTATTACGCGTGTACAACTTGGTAAAATCGACGAGCACGGACGTGGTGGCGACAAACCTAGAAACAAGTCAGAGGAATCCGGGATATGAACTCAGGATCCTAGGATCTTGGCATTCAAGTGGAAGAAACACTACACAGCTAATCCCCCAGCGCCTCAGTCGACTATGCTCAATAACATAACTTACCTGCATAGGACAACGCGATACAGGCTGTTACGAGAACAACAAGCATGATTGTGGACACGAAATACTGTTAGAAAATGTAAAACCGACGGTAGACGACACAGACGGGAATTGGTGAAGAACAAGGCCGTGAATGTTGCCAAGTGTTGACCTTTATCTATGGTAATGTTGTACTTATGCTATGGAATGACAGTCTACATAAACCGTTATCAGGTCTCAAAGACCTATATTACATAACCTCCGGAACAGTGTTGGTTTTAGATACAGCAGTGAATGTATAGTTTCATGGGTAAATGTTAATAAAGTACGTAGCAAATTGAAAATATTGGTTTTACATTTCGGCAGAAAGCAACTTTGCGCAAATAATTTATATATGTGTTGTGGACATCGATATTGGAATATTGTAAGCAATGACACATGTAAGTCGCTAAGGTGTAGCTGCTTACACCTGTAGTCACTTATACGTGTGACTACAAGCACCTGTAGTGACTGACACGTGTAATAACTTGCACCTGTAATCACTGATATATTTAACTGCTTAAACCTGTAATCTCTGATATATGTAACTGCTTAAACCTGTAATCACTGATATAAGTAACTGCTTAAACCTGTAATCTCTGATATATGTAACTGCTTAAACCTGTAATCACTGATATGTGTAACTGCTTAAACCTGTAATCTCTGATATGCGTAACTGCTTAAACCTGTAATCTCTGATATGCGTAACTGCTTAAACCTGTAATCTCTGATATGCGTAACTGCTTAAACCTGTAAGTCGATTCTTCTAGCGGATTTTACAATGGAGGAATCTCTAGAACGTTGTTTACTGGATATTGATCATTCGGTAAATAAAATAGTCGAAATTATACAGTAAACTGCTCGACATTGTGGTCAAGACGTGTATCTGCATGCCAACGTAAGATTATTGAGCATAACGAAAAAGTGTAAGACGATGAATGGATCAATCAAAAACGCAGGAAATCTCAGTCATTGGACACGTTCAAATAAACGGCGAATAAAAAACGTTTGGAAAGAATATTAGGAAGTGTTTGTCTGAAAAAATATTTACGAAGATAAATGTGTAAACAGTCTTGTGCCTAACATTAACAACAATAAATCATTCTACCCGTGAAGATCCGGTGTAGAATAGGTCTTCAGTAATCCATGCTTGCCATAAAAGGCGACTGTGCCTGTCGTAAAAGGCGACTAACGGGATCGGGTGGTCAGACTCGCTGACTTGGTTGATGCGTGTCATTAATCCCAATTGCGTGGATCGATGCTCATGATATTAATCACTGGATTGTCTGATCCAGACTCGATTATTTACAGACCGCCGTCATATAGCTGGAATATTGCTGAGTGCGGCGTTAAACAACAAACCAACCATCAAATAAATCATTCTGGAGGAAACTGAAGGTCAAGTCAAAGTTAAAAGAAGTTTATTGTACAAAAGGCCTCCGGCCCATATACAAGAAAGAGTTACGCATGTAGATACAATCATATATGTTACACATTGTGATATACACGTTGTTTGATTCATTCATTTGCATGCTTAATATAAAGAGAAAAAACTATTATATTTGATTCGTTCTTTGTCGTCAGCATAACTACAGACGCGTTTATCGGTGACATTGCTATTAAATATTCTTTTATATATTTCTTTCGGAGATCATTGTAAAATGGACAGACAAACACAAAATGAATTTCATTTTCTATCTCTAGATTACACAATGGACAAATTCTTTTCATTTTTTCAATGGACAGTTTTCTTCTTTCGTTTACAAATAGGTCTAGCAAACCAAGTCGATATTTAATTAACTGTTTTCTTAAGTTTTCCGTAGTGAGTACTGATAAATATATTTCTGGTTGAAGTGAAGATCTTGAAAGTTTTGTAATATTCATAACGTGCACTATCCTCTAAAGTGGAGTGCCATTCTTGGTAGAACATATTTATAGACCGATTCCAAAATTCATTAAGAAACATATTTACATTTCCAACTGACTGACATAGCCATATAAAACCCAAACCGTGCGAAAATAAAAGATTTCTTATGTGCGATGTCCAAGTATTCCTTCCCGTGTTATCTAAATGTAGAAGCATGTTTTTAGCTAATTTGGGGAGACGTAGTCCATGCATATGAAGAATTTTAAACCAGTATTTTAAACATCTGATCTGAGAGTTAATATATAATGTGTATCTACCACATTCACCATAAACCATGCAATTTGGTGTAGAAGATCCGACACGACCTTTTACATGCTAAAATAAGTGAACCTTCTCTAAACAGTCATAACGTTGAAATCCCCATACTTCAGAACCATACAATAAACTTGGTTGTGTCTGGGTATCAAAAAGCTTAAAGAAGATATTAGGTGAAATCGATCCCACTTTATGCGCAATAGACATTACACTTATTTAAGCTTTCTTTGCACGCAAGGACAAGTCAAGGGCACATTTTTTTCCTATTCATTGTGTGTGAGAACCAGATTCCTAAATATGAGTGGTGATCTTCTATATTGACTAACTGACCATCGAATGACCATCTCTCTTTCGACGCTATTGGACCACCTTTTCTGAAGATCACAATTTTAGTTTTTTTCCAAATTTACTGATAATTTCCATTTTTTCGTGTATGTACTTAAAATATTTAATTGCCTTTGAAGACCAACAACAGTATCTGACACTAGAATGACATAATCTGCGAAAAGTAACATTCATATTTCTATCAAATCTGGAAAAATTTGGATACCATGTTTACCACTGGCAGCTATTTCGTAATATAATTCATGAATGAAAAATGAAAATAAGATCGGACTCAAAATACAGCCTTGTCTTAGGCCCAAAGGACAATCAAAGAAATCTGTTAAACTATCCCCCCAACGAACACATGATCTCACATTAGAATACATTGATTTAAGAATAGTAAACATTTTCCCACGTAAACCAGCTTTTCGAAGACATGTCCATAGCTTAAAGCGATTAACAGAATCAAAAGCCCTTTTAAAATCTACAAATGCTACATGCAGTTTATGCTTACGCCGTGACAAGGTTTTTTGAATAAGTGCATCGTTATGACAGGACAGGAAGACTCCAAACAAACGTGACGTGTCATAGACTAGGGTAGAGTAACTTCCCTTTGATAAAGGGAAGTGACTCTAGCTAGCAGTCCGATGTATTGCCGCGAAAGGTAAGTAGAAACAAATTTGTGTAGGCAATTGTCGGTTTGCCTAGATGTAGTAACGTTACTGTATAAGAAACAGGTTTCGGATGGTTTCAATATTGACTGTTTTCACTGTCCGACGAACATGTCGCTTACCTTCTGACGTAATATATATTAATGCGCACATTCTAGGAAAACTTGGAATGTTAAGGTAATGTTTGTGAAAGATTGGAAGATAGTTTTCGATGACAGAAGCGAAGAATGACATCATATGATAAAGAGGTTACCACGCTTGTGTGTTTGCCAATGGTATTAGAGATAAACACTATGTATTTAGCTCGCCAAGGCTCGCGTGACAACCTCTAAATCGGAACAGTATTTCAGTTAAATCACGGCGCGTCCGCTTAATTTGGGAGGAATGTCTAAAAGAAAAGCACCAAGCGTACATTCCAAGCGCTGCTTTTCCCACAATGTGCCCTATGATATCGTCAATGTTTTTCCTACAGCTATGACACTGGTGTCGTTTGCTGACAAACCAATGATCATTATAAGGGCAAATCTGGGATTAGAACCCATGATCGTCGGATTAAATGACGCTTTGAATGGAAACTTGCAGCACCAGGCTCTTTGCGAAAAAACACCACCATCCCATAAAACCTGGGAAAATGTTTTTCCTCCGATGGTCAAGCTCCTTTCAAGGAATGTGTCTCGCTCGGAAAATATATAGCCACAGGCTACACACATATATACTGAGGAGCAAAAGAAACTATACTTCAACAACAAGAATAGGTAATTATGGTCGTTTGTCTGGCGGGATAACGGTTCTTATCCGAAAATCTATTGACTATATTGAGTATGTGCATCTTCAGATATATGTGGGACAGGGACAGGGTGTCCGAATTAGGAGACAAACTTTTTTCAACAGAAATATCAGACGCCCTGCTCTTGTGTTTTGACAAAGCTTTAGATAATTTTGATGACTCCATAAATGTGTTTACCAGCACTGTATGTTGGTTGGTTTGTTGGTTTGTTGTTTTACGCCGCACTCAACCATATTCCAGTTGTATGACGGCGGTCTGTCAATAATCGAGTCTGGACCAGACAATCCAGTGATTGATATCATGTGCATCGATCCACGCAATTGAGATCGATGACATGCTTCAACCAAGTCAGCGAGTCTGACTACCCGATCCCGTTAGTCGCCTCTAACGACAAGCATAGTCACCTATTACGGCAAGCATTGGTTGCTGAAGACCTATTCTACCCCGGATCTTCAGGGGTCAGCACTGTATGTAACGCTGCAGAGTCAACATATTACCGAGGCAAGAGAGTTAATTTACTGACTGTAAAAGTCCAGTTTCTACCCTTGCCGAACTAGGCTGGAATTTCTGGGCTCGATCGTAGAGCCACCAGTGGCGATTACGAGTTATGTCCCTTCGATGTCCCTTGTATTGACCAGATTCCATCTCTCATATGACTTGCATTTGCTTCAATCAAAATGGCGGCTCCCAGGCTAGACGATCTGATCGATAATCAAGACCTTTAATGTAATAAAATGGGTCTTACCTCACGAAGTACATCAAATGACTTGAGCGCCTTCGTTTAAAACATGAAAAGATTTGCAAAATATCTATCGATGCCAAGTTGACAGCACGACAGTCGCCATCTGGTTATTAACCGAATGTCAATTCATTACGCGATTTTAATTGGACTATGCATAGACTCGTTAGTCCAGCCAAACTAAAACTCCATAATTGACAAACTGGGCCTCTAAAGTGAGTCAGCTATTATTATGTTCAGGTTTCAAACGTATCAAGTTTTTTGTCAGAATATTTTCAAAGATTGAAACAATCATACAATCAGGATTGGCATGGGGTGTTGACTGACAGCACAAAATCATAAAATTACTCATTGTATAAATTCAGTTTCAATACCGAATTCTATATCTCAGTTGTAACATGTTATTAATTTAGAAACGCTATGACACAGACAGAAGA